CTTGTATAGGGTTTCTGAGGATCGACTGGTGAGTTTGAACCACCAAGCTTATGGTTAGCAGTTCAGTGCTTATCCAAGAATACCCTAACAGGACTCCTCCCCCTTCTGTAGCGGTGAGATAGTATTTTACCTTACAGAATTGTGGTGAGGGTTAAGTGAATACACATAAGAAAACATGCAAAATCCCTTGTATATCAAGCAGCAGTGCAGAATCTCTGCATTATGGCATACTGAAACAACTGATGATTTACACTCTGCTAAGTGTGCTGGTGTGGCAAAGTTGGATAAGCACTGGACTGCTAACCACAAGGTGGGTCATTCAAACCCACCACCCAGTCCTCGGAAACCCTATGTCAGGTCTCTATGAGTCAGAACGGACTCTATTATGCTTAACAGCAATAAACAGAAGTGGGAAGAGAGGGTGTTTTGCATGTTTTAAAACATGTTTGAACTCCTGGTGTGGCACTGTAGGATAAGCACCAGACTTCAAACCACAAGTTTAGTGGTTCAAACCACCAGTTGCTCCTTAGATAGCCTATATAGGGTCACTATGAGTTGCAGTCCACTTGAGGGCACTTAACAAATACAAATGTTTGGAAAACAGCAACAACGAAGTGGTATTTTAGATTTTCTGAGGAACCTTTGTTGGTGCTGTTAAGTGCCATTGAGCCAATTTTGACTCGTAGTAATCCTGTATAGCATTTTGTAGGAACAGCTGGTGAGTTTGAACCGCCGACCTTGCAGTGCAAATGGACCTTATGTTCCAGTGCTACAGCACCACCTTTAGAAATGTTTGAATAAAGGTTTAAAGGAGGCTTTTTGTCTTAATTAACTGTCTAATTTAATCCATAAATCTTTAATCCTAGCCTAAAAATGAGCACTTCTAAGTGCTTTTTAAAACATCTATTCCCATGCTATGACACACTGAGAATTGTTTTTTTCACATCTCTGTTGGCTGGCATCTATGTCATTAAATACTGTCTATTTCTTTACATTAGTCCTAGCTCACTCATGACCGGTATTTGACCTGTGACTGCTAATTTTGGGCTACCTTATGTCTCACAGCATGGAAGACCTGAAATGGAAACAAGAGGACATAGTGTTTGAAAGCCACCAAGGTCACACATGGGATCATGACAGTTAAAGTTGATAATATCAAGGATATACCAAGGCACTTAGTCACAGGAAGTAAGGGGAAGGAAGTGGCTATTGCAGAAGGAAAGAGGAAGCTATAGATCAAGGAAAGTAAATACAACAAAAGATGAAGGTCTTCTAAGAGTTGCACACATGGAAAACAAAACTTCCTGGATGTTTTCTCTTTCTTTTATTTATTTTACAACTTAGAATTGTAAAATGTAAGAAAAAAAATGCATGGGTGAATTAGAGAATAAAGAAGGAATATATTTTGCATTCTAATTAAATTTTAGTGAAGTTAATGCTTAATAAAGTGTCATATGTCTGTGCCTTTTAAGTACATATTTCACAAGAAAGAACACATCACAAGCATGGATCCCACAAGTCAGAGTGTGTATTTTTAATCCTCCTTTGTTTTTGAAGTGTATTGATTTCTTCAACATTTTAGAACTGCCATTTCTGAAAGGAGATTTTCAATGGACAGTGACTACTATTACTCAATTATATATTACTGAACTGATTATAATTCATGGAAAGTGAGTTGACTTTCTTTAATGTTTAATTGTGAAACACTGAATATCATATTTGTTCCTGATCTGTACAACTACAACAATTTTTACTTCTGTCATTATTTAATTCACCAGTGAAGTTAGTAAATTGAATTATAAGCACAAGCTATGGGTGTTACTGGCCAATATTAAGAAGGTCAGCCTTGCCAGTTCTTTACTTTCATTGACACAAAACCTGCACAGCTAGATTGTTGTTGTTGTTGTTGTTGTTATGTGCTGTGGAGT